TTTCAGGACCAGCTCCTTGCCAAAACTATGGTCACAAGCCATGGTCATCCCCATTTTCAAAAAGGGAGACCCCAGCCTAGTTGAAAATTACAGACCAATCTCTTTATGCTTCATCACCTGTAAAGTCATGGAATCAATTATTAACCAATCCATCATCCTCCACTTAGAAACAAACAACCTACTCTCTAATAAACAATTTGGTTTTAGGAAAAAACTATCATGTAATCTGCAACTCTTTCACTGCAAAAACATATTGACTACACAACTTGACCAGGGCAAAGCAATAGACACAATCTACATAGACTTCTATAAAGCCTTTGATTCAATGGTATACGACAAACTACTCCTAAACTAAAATCTTATGGTTTCTCTGGATACCTGCATAACTGGATAGAAGCATTCCTGTCAAACAGACAACAAATGGTCAAAATTGGGAGCATCCTATCAAATTCTATACTTGTCAATAGTGGTGTTCCCCCAAAGCAGTGTTCTAGGACTAACTCTTTTCATACTCTACATAAATGACCTCTGTGATCATATTAAGAGCAACTGCGTTCTCTTCACTGATGATGTAAAGCTATTCAACACCACAGACAATACTGCTACCCTTCAAAAAGACCTTGACTATGTATCAGAATGGTCAAACAAATGGCAGCTTCAAATCTCAACAAATAAATGCTCTGTCTTACATATTGGCAAAAAAAAATCAGAAAATAAAATACAGGCTGAATAGTCAAGACCTTGTTGATGATGCAAACTCTGTCAAGGATCTTGGAGTACTCATCTCAAATGACCTAAGTGCTAGAGCCCACTGTAACTACATCGCCAAGAAGGCGTTAAGAGTTGTTAACCTAATCCTACGTAGCTTTTTCTCTGGTAATATTATACTACTAACTAATGCATACAAAACATTTGCTAGACCAATACTCAAATACAGCTCATCAGTCTGGACCCCACATTATGTATCTGATATTAACACAGTTGAGAAAGTCCAGAAATATTTCACAAGGAGAGTTCTCCACTCCTCTACTCGTTGCAGAATACCCTATACTACCAGACTCGAAATTCTAGACCTAGAAAACCTAGAACTACGCCGCCTTCGGTCCGATCTAAGTATAGTATATAAAATCATACATTGCAAAAGTTCTCCGAGGAAAGGAGCGGGAGGCGGAGGAGAAACGGCCCAAATTTGGGGTCGTTTCTCCTCCAGTGGAGCCTTTCCCCGGTTTAGCGGAGGGTTTTTCCGGGGCTTGCCTCCCTTTTGGGGGTGTCTGTGGGTGACGCCCGACTTCCCCTCGCTACCTCTCCCTCCACCCCGTCATCCAGTGCAGCAGCTTTCCCACGGCAGAATCTGCCCATGAAATGAACGTTTTTGTGCGTTTTGTGTGTGTATGTCAGAGGAAGAATGGCATGAAGCATTTTTCTAGTAATTTTGAAGGTGGGGGCGCGCAGAGTGAACTGAGCACCAGTGGGAATTCTCCCTGCTGAAGCGTCATCGATCTCCGGGTAGAGTTTGTTGTGACTTCATTTGAAGGAGATGGGAGAGTTCGACGCAGAGAGCGAAAGTGAAAGTGAAAGTGAAAGATCCCTTCAGTCTGGGGGCTGCAGCTCAAGTGGGGGTCCAGGACAGGCCCTGCGGGGACCCTCCACTTTCTTTCCTCTCTTCACCATTCTCAGCTACACTTTCCTTTGTGTGCATGGAAGGATGGACTAGACGTCCGCTTAGTTTCCCAAACTGCCCCTCCACCGGGGGGTGTCTTTCTTTGAAAGGGGCCGCCGGGCTCTTTCTAGCTAACTCGCAGCGAGGGGGGAAGGGTCCGTGGAAAGGGGACTGGAGGGTGGGCTGCGTAAGGAGAAGGGAGAGACGAATCCCCCCAGGAGCCGCGGACGGAGGGGCTA